CCCCGTCCCCCGCCACGTCTCCACGCTGCGCTGATCAAACCCCAACATTTCGAAGGTGTCAGGATGCTCGCTACTACCCAGCATGCTTTGCGGTTCGCTTTTATCCAGCTCTTGAGAGCAGGAGCCCTCGATCTGTCCATCTCTCTCCCCCACCCCCCCACCCGGCACAGGGAGCCGCTGCACCCCTCCGTGCCCTATCACTACTACGAGCCGGCAGGCACTGACGAGTGCACCATGTACGTTTCGCACGAGGGCGGTCGCCGTGGCAGCCACCATCGCTTCCTCACCGAGAAGCGTGTCTTCGCAAGCTGGGCCTGCATCTTCGACATCCACTTCTACCAGCCCGAGTGGAGCCCCGAGCCCCCCCCTGCTAGCAACTGGACCGTGCCACGGCCCGCGTGACCCTCCCTGCCCCAAGCCGACGCCGAGAGGACGGCGCCCCCACAGTGCGGCTGTGTGCCGGACGACCGCGCATCTCTCCTGCAGCTCCCGGGGTGGGGACTGCCTGGGGGTGTCCACGGCAGCTTGCTTAATCATTCTCACTTCTCTGCCTCTCCGCCATGACACCCCCCAGGCGTGGAAGCAGCAGCACACCATTCCTATAGTTTGCAGGTGATTAATGAGGCCTGTTTCTCCTCCCCCTCCTATGTTTCTGGAGTCGATAGTGGGGGTGCAGGTGAATTCAGCACCTCGGCTTCCTTTAGCGGGGGGGGAGGGGAGGTTTACCCCAGGTTCGAAGGCTCTAGTGGAGGGGTGACCTCTGCAGGGTGTTTCATTCCTGTCAGAGAGCCTGAATGGCCAGACCCCGGGACTGAGCCTTGGTTCACTGCCACCCCCTTCGTCAGTCTCTGTCGGCAGGATAAAAGGTTCTCCGCAATCTTGAAGGATCTGTGACGAGTATCCACAGGCACCAAATCAACATGTAAAACCCAGTCAGATGGGTTGGACATTCCCCCCCCCCAAAGCGGCCCTTCTGCATCTTCAGACTTTTCGGGGGTGTTTCCCGCGACCCCCTGGGTCCTGCCTTTTGTGTCTTTTCATCCACAAGCGCTGCAGTAAAACCAACCAGATTTCACTTGAATGTAACTTTGAAAATAAACCAGCTGCGGCAGTTACCGTTTGTTTTATTTCAGCATCCTTATGGATTATCCAGCCCCCCCCCCCAAGTGTCTGTCTCCTGGAGAGCCTGTGCCCCTGGGCATTCTGGGAAATGGCCTAACAGGCCTCATTTCCCACCACGATAGGTCTGTTTTTATCACTGTAATGTAACTGGGCTCCACTTTGGGTAAGATGTTTCAATGGCGATTACAGGTCTGTCTCAGATAGAAGGATGACTGTGACCAGTGGGGGGGTCAGGAGCCAGGGAGAGCTTTCACACAGCACACAGCTTTGTTAAGCCTAAGGTGGCTTTCCACAGACCCCCCAGGATAACCCCCAATACCCACAGGCCTGACAGGAAGCTGGGCCATTGAATACAGGATTGAGACGATGACGACACACACACACACACACACACACACCCCCACGCCGGCCTTTAGTGAGCCCAACACCCCCCAGGCCCTTTATGGTTGACTTGGGGCTCCCATATCACCAAGTCCGGCTGCCCTTGTAGAGGGAAGCTCATCATGGGGGTGGGATAAAAATAGCCCCCACTCACAGCAGTTTATTTGAACTGATCTATTACCAGCCGCTTCCTGTCCTCCCGCTCAGAGAGCAGCACCCTACAGAAGCCGCATCAGACTAAATAGTGAAATCAGCAGTTTTTCCAGACGACGGCCCTGTCTATATAGTGCATGGGAAACTGCAGCCGCTCAGCACTTAGATTCACACGATTCATAAATGAGCCATTTATAGGCCAGGCACACAGGCCGGTCGGCCGCCTCGCGGCGCGGAGAAGCGATTTTGGGGAAAACGAAGTTAATGGGAAGCGATCCTGCTTTATTTACACCTTAATGCGCTGAAACGGCACCCCCTGATTTGCCAGTCACCATTGAGGTCCCGCAAAAGCGCTCAGCAGACTGTTTTCTTTCAAGTCCACAATGCCCTGCAGCCTCTCTGCACATGCATTTATGCAATTACACACATACAGAAGGGAGCGGAGACAGGCGGCTCAGTGCTGCAGAACACCACCACCACGCCCTCACTCCCCCCCCCGTAACCACTAGGGCCGACTGCCAAAGGGCCAGAGGGGCTATTTAATCCTAGGTTTGGGTCCATAGGACCAGGTAAAGCAGACTGTCCAGATAAAGGAGAGAATAAATCTGCACAGGCAAGCTGCAGCCACCTACAGAGGAGTCCTAATGCTGGTCACAGCAGGGCAATGACACGCTGCAGGCCCTCCATGGTGCCGCTCTCAGGCCTCTTCCAGTTGGGTTGACGCATGCGCAGAGAACAAAGGAATGTTCTTTATTGTTTTCAAAATTGTAGTTTAACGTTTGAAAAAAAATTACGTATATGTTTCTGCACGATCTGTTTCATGACTGTCAATCTATTCTAAATTTAAACGATTAATATATTAATCTTAATTTTGTTTTACTGTTTAAAGTGTTACTGTCTACATAAAAATGAACACAACAAAAACGCAAATAGCATTTTTATTGATATCAGTGATCCATGATTATAGGGGTGGGCGATATACCGGTAGACTCGACTAACCGGTAGAAATTTGTCAACCGATAGAGATTTTGGTCTATCGTCTTAATCGCGATTGAGATCACGTGACGTTGCACGTTGGGTAACCACAAAATACACATTCACTTCGACAATGGAAGAAGACGGTGCAGCGGTGAGTTTGCTTACATGTGACGAAACCAACAAGGAGGAGATTGTAAAGAAAAAAGGTGCATCGTTTGTGGTGTGGAACAGAGCATGTGAGCGAGGAGCGGAGCGGGCGGAATTTGGTCAGAGCGCGGAGCGGGTTTTCTAATTAAGACTGGAGCGCTCGCTTTGTCTCGCTCCAATTTCGCTCCGATACCGCTCACACTACAATTCTGAGGCGTGCCCAAATCTACGCAGAATTCATCTGTACAATTATCAAGACT